ATTCTATGTGCTATATGTCAGGTGGACATTCTTGGTAACTAGTATAAAAGCAGAAGCTTTTTGTACAGCAGTAAAACTGTGAAATGGCATAAAATTCTTTTAGGATTTTAGACTTTTGTGTCTGATCCAAATCTATTTTTATTAAACAGACATTAAATGAATCGTTGTCAACATATAAAATTTGGTGTCAGTCAAATATAAAAAGTATATTTATCCTTTCCGGGAACCCAAAAGTAGTCACTCTTATCCCAGGACTATATTAGGGAAAAAATACATATCTTTGATAATAACTTTTAAAGAGGAGCTCTGCTGTTTGAGGAAATTTCCTCTCTAGTGGACAGTTCATGAAGTCAATTCAGAAAACGAGGGAAAAGAAAAGGCAAATTGCAGTGCTGTCAGATTTAAATTTAAAATGACTTGCCTCAGACATTAATTAACCCAAATTTCAGCACAATTATTTGATTCTAACCTTAAGTCTGAAAACAAAATTCTTAAGAGCATGAGGGTGTTTTATAGAAAATGTCCATGTTCATGGACTTTGAGAGGGGAAACTCTTTAGCTCAAGATTCAAACATGGCAGAGAGAGCACAATAATGCAAATTGTTTTATTACCTCATTCCTTGGGCATAATACAAGGCTAAAAGGTCAGGACAATATTAGAACACTTTTTCATTCCTAACATCGTATGGACTGTGAAGATGGCACTAAGGAAAAATCCAACAATGTGGTAAAAGACCTATGTTAGATGAAAAAAAAATGTACAAAATGATGTAAAAATAAACTATTATATTATTTTAAAAAACCTATGTTATTTGAGGGTCAATTCAGGAAAAATAAGAATTTACTGTGTTGCTTTTTTCCCCCTCATTCAAAATGGTTATAATTGCATTGTGTCCAATGAAGAAAACACATATCATTGCAAATTAAATATAGTATTTTAGTGAGGAGAAGGTCAGTGAGAATCTTGCCATTTCTTCTTAGCTATTAAAATATTAACATCTCAGCATATTTGAGGAGTAGCAACTTGGAGCCAGGAAATATCAAAGCCGGAAGTGCCATTTGTGTATTTTGTTAAAGAGGTATCCCTAGTGTTTGAAGGGATGCGTACGTAGTCTTGGTAATTCATATTTTACCCTTTTATTGATCAAACATCCAGTGCTTTTGCCAAGAAGGAGAGCAGGACAGAGATGAAGTATTTCCCTACCAGTGAATGATAGTGTAGCACGAAAACTCTAGCCTACTAACTACAAGTTCAGTGCTGTCTTTAAAAGGGCTATATAGGCCCTCCCTGGTGGCGCAGCGGGTTAAAGCACTGCACTGAGAAGCTAAAGCCACTTCCGCATGAGTTCGATTCCCGCCTGCCCCGGAGGTGACCACATGGTGTGGCAGACCTCTCCTGACTCACCCGCTGCTCCCCTCAGCAGTGTACTTCGTCAATCTGCCTGTTCTGCTCCCCACTCTGTCTCTGGTGAATCCTCTCACCCTCCGCATCTCTGGCCTGTACCCAGTTCTGTACAAATAAATAAATAAATATAAAAAAAAAAAGGCTATATAGTTGCAGGGAGCCATGAACATTTGTGAAAATATATATATATTTGCATCATAGTACTTATAGATGACCATTAGAGTAGTTAAATATATAAATAAATGTCTCCTTAAAAAGCAGAGCCTCCTCTGCTTTAGCCAATACCTAGTGGTCAGGATGTTTCTTTTTAATTTTTTAATTTAATTTTTTAAAATTTTATTTTAATATTTAAATTTTTATCTATTACATCACTGTGTATTCCCTGTAAAATTCCCACCATCGGTTCACCATGAATAGATTCATTGCTTTGCTTAATTCTTTCTACAGCCTACCCCTTCAACTTCCTATTCTCCCCCACCTCAAGAAATTAATTCTTTTTTACCCTATTCCTACAAGACCTGCCTTCTATAAGTAATGCACAGTGGAATAAACCCTACTTCCCTCCTGGAAAAATATATATGTGTTGTCAATAATTCAAGGGGTAATTTGAACCTGGCCCGTCCTAGTTTGTGTTCTTTGATCAAATAAGCTTGGGTCTTTATTCCCAAACTTGAAGCTTTATACTATACATAAGCATATTAACAGTTGTGAAAAGTCCACCTCACACCTTACACTCTACCTGCAATGTAGCCCAACTACTGTCAAGTCTTTCTGGTTCCAGAGTAACAGCCCCCTTTGTTCCCTACACCCCTTCTCTACACATTGTCCACTCAGCACCCAAAGTAGACTCCTAAAATGTAATCATAAGCACAGCAGGTTTCTCTTCTCTTCTCAACCATTTCATGGCTTCCAGATACACATGAACCAAGCTCAAATAGTGTGACCTCAGGTTCCTCTGTGACCTGATTGCCATAGCCTGTTGTTCCAACCTCATCTCCCCCAGTCACTTTCACCAGCATGCAGATCTTAATCCATTCATTCACTGGGACACGCCATGCCCTTTCCTCCTCACCTCCTTCACACATGTTCTTCCTTCCTTCTGGGATGCTCTTTCACCCATTTTCACATGTTCTAGTTGCTTCTTTTTCTTCAGGCCTTAGTTTAGTTTCACTACCTCAAAAGAGATCCTTCACAGCCATTCACACTTCCTAATGTATGTGGTGTTCTGTTAATCTCTGTTTTAGCTTCTCATTTATTTCCTTCATAATGTTTAATGGAATTTGTAATCATTATTATTTTTTGTTATTTTTTTATTGTCTGTCACTACATTAGAATGTGAGTCCCCTGAGGAATATGACATTTTATTCACAACATTCAGTAAATATTTAAAGGAAACCTGAATGTAAAATTGATTGAAATATTTCAACAGTAATGATAATATAACCAACACTTACATAGCACTTACTATGAGCCAGTAATGTTCTAAACCTTTTATAGATATTAACGTATTTAATTTTCACAGTGACCATTTGAGGTAAGTACTATTACTATCCCATTTACATGTGAGAAAACATGAGCACAGAAAGGTAAGTCACCTACAGAAGTCCACACAGCTAGTCCGTGACCTGTTTGGAAATGAAATCAAGAAGGGCTGATTCCATCAAGTAAGTAAATCCTAAAAGAAAAATGTTCTTATCACAAATTTATTATAAATAGATAAACTTAGCAGAAAGACTATGAATGCCTTGATGGTGGCTGTGGTGTGGAAGCAAAAGGTGTGATCCTATATACCTCTGAATCACAGTGTTGTAAACCAATATTACTTCGATTTAAAAAATAATAATTTGAAGAAGTAACAAAATTTTGTTAGTATGATGTAAATGTTTTTCAGCTTTGCATTTGTGCATATCTTTCAGCAGCAAATCAATGGATTTCTTGTTTTTGTTAGAAAATTAAAGATTCTCTTATTTTGTTGTAAATATTATTCTCTGCAGCTGTCATGGATGTGTCCGTGCTAATAGTATTCCACTCTGCCTTTGGTTTGCAAGAAGGAAAAATTGTGCTTTGCCAAGTTGATTCTTCATTCATTAAAAAAAAAAAAAGGCAAATGCAAAAACTTAATTTGTTTTATAAATTTAGAATTGAAATTTCTACTAAAAAAAGCAAACCACAAGTCTTCACAAAGCATGAATTTAAATGCACAATTCAAAACTATATTTTGATTACTTGCATGCAAATTAGTCAGAAACCCATGATATATGTGGTTTTAGTGATGTGAAGAAAAAAAATGATCTAAAAATGGTAAGTAAAAATACACTGGATTTTAATTATTCTAAAAATGGACAAGTTTCCGATTCACTCACTTGGAGATGATAAACTTCCCAAGATCTATTTTGGAGCATGGCAACTCTTTTCCACGTGTTCTAAGTAGTCTCATTTCCCTGTGTGATGACTGCGTTGGCACTCTATGTACTTGTGCAACAGGAGAGATCTGTCCACATACCCGAAGGAAAATCTGCGTGTACTTCCATGTTCGGACTGCCCAGCCTTTTCAAGTGCATTTTTAATGTACCTATCATATATCTGAAGTTATTTTCTTTATAATATTAATTTCAGCTCTTTTATTTACTGTTTTTAAATTTTTCATTCATTCCATTGTGTAGTGTGTTTTAGTCTAAAGCTTTTTTGTCTCCACTGTTAGAACTCATTTTAAGAATAATGAAATGAGTGGAAAGGGTAGAAAACATTTTTCAAAGATATTTCAAAAAATATTAATCTAGAACCTCACTGCTTTACTTTAGATTGTCCAATTTTCTTTTGAATCAGGTCATTTTTCCAGCAATAAGCTATCACTTTAACAGCAAGAAAATAAATACACCAGAATAAAGATTTTATCCTTCAAATTTATATGAAAGTATAACAAATTCATGAGGAAAAATGTTCATAAGGATATAGGAAAAACTTTATTTCGTTTCAATCTAGTTGGAAAAGAAAATCATTTTTTTATCAATTTGAAATGATAGTCTTCTAAATATTCCAGAAAAAAATTGTTCAGGACTTTTTTTGCCCTTTATTAATCCCAAAATATTGCAGAATAACATTCATATTATCCTCTGTAATGGATAATATACTGTTGGGGAAAAATCACTTGATCTTTAACAGAGAAACTCGACTTTAATGCTTTTGAAAATTGATATGTGCCCCTAATAGAAAAGGAACAGTTATTCAATTCAGTGTAAGTAACCTCAAATAGGTAAATTAGTCAATTTAGCAGAAGCCTAAATTTTCATAAGCCTTGCATTGTAGATTTCTTTTAATCCCTGCTGAATTTTTCATTGCTAGAGAGCCAAAGAACAATTTTATTAACTAATTTAGCAGAGTTATGATTCAGACCAGACTGGTGGTAATATTTTAAATCTGAAAAGATGAGAAAGCATTTACTTATGTTTGTACTTTTCTATTGATTTAACTTCATGGATTTTTCTAAGCTCCTGTTTGGCATTGATATTTACAGTGTCTACCACCTCTTAGTAAAACAAGAAAAAAGCATCTAAACTCTTCGTATTTATTCCAACTTATCAATTACATGATTCAGGACAAAGCCCCTAGTCTTAATACACTGTATTATTTCAAAGAGAGTTATTTCTCACCATCAATTTTACACATGCACACCCATTCACGTGCCCAGTCTTCATTCAGATTCTTAAATCCTAATGATGTTAGTTTACATTAGTCTGTAAAACACTTGCATTTTTTTAGGAATTTCCTAAAGAATGTAAGACCTTCATAGTATATTCCTTCTACTCACTTGGAAGTCTTCCAAAACAACCTTTTACCTTTTCCCCACTCCTTAGTACACACTAAGTATTTTTAGATTAGAGCAGGTCTGAGAGACCCTAATCCAAATCATTCAGTTTATAGCTGGAAAAATATGACTTTTTCAGTATCAGATGTTTCCCTTTTCCCTGTCAATAAAAAACAGGATGGATAGCTATCCCAGTTCCATCCCATGGTGCAGCTTTAGACCTGGATAGAGGTGTGGTTTGAAGGAAAATATGACATTCTTTATTGAGGAGCCAAGATTATTATCAATAGCAATATAAGCCGAACTTATCTCGGCACTTAATTCTGCCCTGTCTAGAAACTTCTAGTTGGTGAGGGCCCATTCCACATTAAATAAAAAAGTGGGGTCTAGATTTAAACATACTCATCATGATCGTTAATGAGCAATAGGTGTGGGAGATAAATGACACCTTAGATGACTCCCTAAGTTTTTCAGACTGATTGACACCTGAGAATATAAGATAGCAACAAATTTAGCTTGTCTTACACTACACACTGTTTCCCAGTGAGAGATTTGTTTGTTGTAAAGTCTCATCATCTTTTTTCACAGTACATTTAAGCAGAGCTCCAAAATAGATATTGCTAAGTTTATAAATTATAATGATGTGTTTTTTACTCTTAAGATTTATCAATATACTTGCTTAAATAACATTCAAAATTTTCCCAAGGTAGTTTGTTGATGAAATTGCTTTCAAATGCATTTGGGACCTTAGGGAAAAATAAATGGAACAGGTAAGTTGTTAGATAATTGAAAGAGGTGTTGGCTAAAGCCTGAGACAAAGTTACATGTATTACCCCAAAGAGGAGTTGGGAGCAGGACTTGGACAGTTTGCCAACTATGATTTTACTAGGAAAGTGGGAGGGAAAGGTAACAAAAAACAGTAATGATCTATCATTATCAACCCTCATGTATGCCAATTTATGTACAAACATGCCCTATCTCATTTAGGCTCCACAACCTAGCAAGTTAGGTCATTTTAGCTCCATTTTACAGATGGGATAACTGAGATTCAAATAAGTTGAAATATAATAAGAAGGCAAGAATAAAAATAGATGGTTATTAATAATATTTAGTAGTATACTAATTTGAAAGTTAACTTTTTTAGGTTTGTGATGTTGGTTCTTGAATGAACTATCTCATTTCATTCTCATAATAAAAATAGGGTTTATTATACGTCTCTTTTACCTCCAGGAAATGGAAGACTTTAAGACTTAAAAAAAATTATACACACACACACACACACACAAGTAGAAACAAAGCCAGTATTTAAATATAAACTCTGCCTAACTGCAGAGACCATAGTTTGAATCTCTGTCCTATATTTCTAAAAGCGGTGCATGTATTATTGCCCAGGTCTCTTTGCTGCTTAGTCCATGATTTTTCAGGATTCCACGTTGCCTTTAGTTTAAAATAGTGTTTCTCAAATGTGGTCTCATGTGATCCCTGACAGAGTTTCACTGACTGGCACCAAAATAAAAAGTCAAAGACAATGTTCAGAGTTCCTCCTATTACTAAGTATGTTCAGTTTAAAAGATTGTGCTTTGATTTGAAATGACAGTCTTCCTTTTCTGGAGCAAATGTATCCCTTCTTTTTGTACAATAATGATGATCATTGATGATTGTATTTAAAAAAATAACCTTAATTTAAAAATTACAAAAATGTCAGCCCTTTTCCATCTACCCCATCAAGGAACAATAAGTGGAGGTATATTTATTAATAAAATGTTAAATCTGGGCACTTCTGAATAAAAAAAAGAGTGCCCAAGATTAATTTGGCTTTATACTCAGAGGTACAACTTTATAGTTGTAAAAGAATATTCAAGGAAACAGCATACTTGAAGGAAGGTGAATAATTATCTATTTAAATGAAACACCTAAGTTTTGGTTGAGTAGTATACATCCAGACTGGGAAGTGCTTTCACAATCAGTGTGTCATCTGTTCTGTGTCTAGCATTTCCTGTTGTTTTTCAAGTACAACAGAATTTACTACTTATTTGTACTATTTGTACTGTCTGGCCTCTTCTAGATTCATTTCCTTTAAGAAATAAATTATTTCTACTTTAGAACAATTATTTCAAGGATTTTAGTAAAATAGGAAAAATGACAGATATGGTACAAGTCATATAGCAAATCAATACTGCTGTCTATTCTACTTCTTAGGCTCCTCATTTTACCTGATGAGGAAACAACTCTGGTTAAAACTGAACTAAAGTAATTCATCTAGTTAAGTGATGAAAATGTGGCTTAAGTCCAATTCTTTCCATAGCCAAAGCTTCTCCTAGTTAGCTTCTCCTAATTCCATGTGAATTCCAGATCTGGTTTTTGCTATCCTGTACCACAATTCAAATAATGGTAAGAAAGTAAGAAATGCCTTTGATGTAAATGTGCCTCCATCATTCTAGATGTGTGTTTTAGATGACTCTATATATATGTATACAGGACTTAAAACTTTTGAGTAGGAAGATGAAAAGACATTATATATCAGGGTCCTCCCTAGTGGCGCAGTGGGTTACGACATGGTACTGCAAGCTAGCGGCAGCCACTTCAGTGCGAGTTCAATCCCCGGCCAGGGAGGTGACCCACATGGCGTGGCAAACCTCTCTTGTCTCGCCTGCTCTCGCCCGCTACTCCCCTCAGCAGTGTCCTTTGTAGTTCCGCCTGTTCTGCTACCCACTCTGTCTCTGGTGAAGCCTCTCACTGCCCTTGCACCTCTGGCTTTTACCCCAGTTCTGTATGAATAAATCAATTAATTATAAAAAAATTATATATCAAATCAATAAAAATAACCTTAAAGCAAATGTAAGTAGAAATTAGAAGGATCACTAGATGATATGAAAAGATCCTTCAGTGCATAAATAAAGCAAAGCTGGAGGTCATCCCTTTAATGGGAAGATAAAATTTGAAAGTAGCCTATAACTCTTCTAGCTATAAAAGAGACCTCTTATGTTACTATTGCATTCCAGCATGTATACTTCCCTAAATTGCAGTCATTGTTAGTTACTATGTTGCTTGTTTTTTATTTAAATTACTTGGATCATGCTGTGCCTTCATCTTTCTATAATATAAGCATGGGTTTTCATTGTAATGAAAGATTAGAAAAAGTAGAAACCTCAATGATTCCTTAGTAAAAAAAACTTCATTTTCATAAAAATCCTAAAAAATAAAGTTTCTGTCTTTTTAAAGAGAAAGGAGAAGTATAACATGTTAGTCCTTAGAGGGAGCAAATGAGGAAGGAAAGACAAATCCTTTGCTCTCAGAGGGGTTTTCTCTTAATATAGCACACTCTGATTTAGAGTTTTACCTCTTGTTTTGAGTTCACCAAAGACCTGAATCTTAAATAGCTACTTCTAATATATCCAGAGACTGAATGTATACTGACTATACACTATGTAGTAAGAATGAATATCTTGAACTTACAGAATTTAAGTTATTAAATTTCATATCTTTCTGTGGCTTCAGTGCAAATTTGCAGCAGAGTTTCTCATATAATGTGTCAGCTCCCAGACAGGAAAGATAGCAAGACTGGATCTCCAAAGGGAAGTCAAAGTTACACAAGAAGCAGAGACACCAGTGAGAGTATGAGAAAGTGCGAGGTAATGTTTAAGCATCACACTTTCTGCATTGATTTATGAATGACTTGAAAATATTTATGTTGAAAGACCAAAATATTCCCTCAAAGATTACATTTCCTCCATTAAAAGTAGTAAGTAGAACTATTCAATATATCTTTTTCACATATGTGAGAGATTTGCCAGCAACTATCATCACTACTCATAAAGGTAAAAAGAGAAAGAGGACAGTCATAGCATTTAGTTTAGAGCCTTACAGGTTTATGTCAGGTAATGGAAATATTTTGGGTGAAATTATTGACCTACAATACAAATAAATAATTTACTAAGCTGTTTAAAGGCAGAGTCTGTTACACAACCCATGAAAGCAAAGTATGGAAGGCACTTCTTTTTTGTTTGTTTGTTTGTTTCTATTCTCATCACTTTCCTGCTTTTTTTTAAAAAACTTTTTTTTTGGAGGAAGGGTATGAGGGAAGGGGGACATGAATACCTGAGATCCACTACCTTAGCAAGTTTCTACACTACAGCCACTGCCCATGTTTCTGGCATTTTCTCTCCTTTCAAGACTATCAGTACTCTTCAGGATTTCCCAATTTATCTGAGAAATAGGTATTTAAATAAGAAGAAAATGTTGCTTTCCTTCCTTATTTTTCTTCATTTGAGCTATATATTGGTTAATATAACAAAAGAATCACTTTAACTTAAAAGACTATCAAACCCTTAAGACCTGAAACCTATTCTCCACATGCACATCTCTAGAGTCTTGGAGAGATTTAGAAAAAAAAAAAAAGCTGAAGCTCTGTTTCTTTCAAATGGCATTCTTCTACTTCTCTAAAGGTAGAAATTCCAGGAAGTAATTGTTTTTTTCTCACTAAAACAAATTGTAGAGTGTGTATGTCCTTTAAAATAGTACAAATAAATGAGATTGTGAAACCTTAGCATATAAAGAAATAAATATTCTACTAATAAAAGTTAAAAACCTTTAAAACTACCAAGCACTTGCTAGCAGAATAGTATGGGAGGCAAGAATTGCTTTCTTTCTTTTAAAAATCACATGTAGGGCAGGCCCTCCCTGGTGGCTCAGCGGGGTAAAGCACAGCACTAAGAAACTAAAGCCACTTCCGCATGAGCTCAGCATGAGCTCGATGCCCACCTGCCCGGAGGGAACCACATGGCACGGCAGATCTC